GGACGAGAGGATACCAAGTCCAGTTACCGCGCCGCAAGAGAGCACCATGCCTTCGCCCCCCGCTTTGAATACCCCACTATTTGACCCCATATTAGAGTCTCCAGCTCTGAACTTCCAGCCGACTTGCTTTACAATGATATTTGTTCTCCCTGGCGAGCCCGAGAAGGCCGCAGAGCTACCAAACGACCAATCTACCCTGAATACGTTCTTCGAGGAACTCAGAAAACAGAATTTCTACATTTATTCCCCCGATAACCCCGCACGGGGTATAAATGACAGGGATTGCTATTCAATATACTTCAGGAACCCACTCTTGAAATTGCATGCCGAATATATAGGAGAAGAATCCTTTATAACAATGATGTACCAGCCAGTGGAGGAATCAGGAACAACAGGGCGCAAGAGACGACGTAGGGATGACGTTTTTGGAATTGGCGAGGTCAAAAGATGGTTGGATGAAAGACTCAACAGGCTAATCTCAGTGAACCATGCGTCCCAGTTTGCGATTCAGCTCCCGGAATGAAATTAGCGGGACTTGAAATGTGTTTGTTTTGGACTAGACTGTTCTCATCGTGCTCAGCAGCTTCCGAGTCTAGCTTCAAAACTTTCTGCGATAGCTGAATCCTCAATTTTGCATTAACTTTTGATTTTTTTGAAATAAATTATATCCAGGATACTACGAGACTAGTGAGTTGTGTATTACAGGTACACTCATAGATAAATGCTGCTTAGAGGTGAGGCAAGTAAGTACCGGTGAAATTCGACCGACAAAGAGATTACTAGCAAACGGAGAGACTTAGTGGACAGCCCTTAGACTTAGAAAGTGTATTAAACTGGTGATAAGCCCTCAAAAAGGAATCGAATGAGATTATAGGCATCGCACTAGGCGAAGCTAAGCTCGGAGGATTAAAAGTATAACGAGAGCGAGGATTTATTGGCTTTTATGAGAGAGTGACGCTGGCAAAAGAAGAGTCAGATCCAATAGGATTTGATTCTTGAGCTTTTCATCGAACATATTTGACTGGTCATGTAACTTCAAACTATATCTGAACAAGATTGAAACTTAAGCCTTGAAGAGGAAAGATGAAGCAAAAAATGAAGCAAACTATCAGTACATAAAACTAGAATATTTTCTGGGGATTTTGTAAGCCAAGAAACGTCCTGTTTGGGAAAGAGGGCGCGAGGGAAATGAGCAGGTGTGAAAAATCAGTGGGTTAATAATGCGGTTGGTAGACTGGCTTGAAGGCGCTTCTCCAAGTGTTCAAAATCCTATCATCCTATCTTCGGCAGTTGATGCGCGTCCACCATGGGTAGTACGAGGTGGTTGGTGGGTTAGGTTAGAGCGAAAGGAGAGTGAAAGGGGTGATTTATGCTCGTCGGCATGGTTAGGTGGCCTCGAGTCGGCCTGTCGCGATGGCGAATTGTATTGAGGCCCGTACTGCCTCTAAGTTTGGCGCCCACTTCTGATCGTCGGGAGGGGAAAAAGTGTCGTCGAGAAAATACTTGTCAACTGTATCAAAATTACCGATCCACTTGGAAGATACGGACACCGTTAAAAGCAGGCAATGATGACAACGGAGGTTGAGGCGATTCAAAGTTTGTTTTGTGGATTGTATTTTCAAGTTGCAATGCCCCGATTTAGTCCAGCTAATCAAGCAGGAGAATGCATTCTCAGCAAGCAATAGTATCCAATCTCGATTTAACGAGACCGTGTATTAGGAAATTATCAAAAAGACGCCGAACTCCTTGATCCAAAGGATTTACCAACATCCAAAGGCCCTCTTGATGAATTCACGATGGCCGAGAACGTCGCCACCAGGCGCTTCATGAGGGAAGCGGGTTATAGACTTAGCCTTGCTAATCAACGACAGTGCCGTCTTTTATGGAAACGACTGTTCGAGATGCGGAACGCGGGTGTTGACAAAATTCTCTTATATCGCACAAAAAAATTCAAACGCTTCTGCAAAAGCTACTCATCAGAATATGGGGCTTCTTTGGTAGAGATGGCCCTGAAATGGGAAGAAATATATGTCTTCCATATCAAACAGTTGGAAGAGCGTGTGGCCGAGGAGAGCAAGGGCGATTTCACAGGAAGACTTTGGCTGAGCCAGCCGCTTGTAGCGGACGGACCTAGTGTTCCTGAAAATGCGTGGAACAGCGCTATCAACCCATGGTCCTCCAGCGTAGAGGTTACCATCTTCCAATTGAGCGGATCACACGAGCCATCAGCTGTTGCGCTTGGTGAGTTCTTTGAATTGCAACTAAAGGCAGAAACAATGCAGGACAAGTTTATTTTCGCTACTCTTCAACCCAAAGGTGATGTCTTTCTCGCGGATTGCCCCCTCATTTCCGTCCAGAAAGGAGATACCCTTGGGATAGTTGGTGGAGTGATTCGGTACTCTTCGGAATGCGGCGTTGTCTACGGTATACCTGGTCCCGAAGAAAATCTTTGGCTGGACTACTCCACGGTGACTGGGGCACTAAGCCTCATGAACTTATCAGGTCTTGGAGGTGACTTCAACATTTGTCTTCAGTGGGAGCTCATCGGTGGAAGGAGTGAAGGGCATCTCATGTGGAAGGTCTCGGTTGTTGTTCTTCGGGCAATTTAGCCATTTGAAGGAATTGTTTGCGCTGCTCCTCAAAAAGCACAATATCTCCTGCACCAATCGCCAACTTGCGCAAAGCGCGGTTATACGAAAAGCCGAAGTTCCTGGTTCTTGTTTTTTATTCATATACAGGGTCTATTTCAGCGTATTCTAAAACGCCATTTACCAGTGTCATCTGTCATGATAGAGCAAAGGTAT